TTTTTTTTTTTTTTTTTTTTTTTTTTTTTTTTTTTTTTTTTTTTTTTTTTTTTGGTGAGGTTGGTTTTAAATATTATAATTATGATATAATCAAATTTTCATAAATAATATTATATATGGATTATTGGATTTTTATTGAGATTTCGACCCAAGCAGTGTACATCTATCTATACGTGAACGGTTGATTCAAATGAACGATTTTTGTGGAATGTAGAACTATCCAAAAATCAAAATTTTAAATTATATTTTTCGTTCTATAAAGAATTATAATATTTTAGAAAAAAAAAATTGGTAGCTAAACCTTTTATGACTTTTTTTTTTTTTGATAGTTTGTTTATCTATGATTTTGAAGCAAATTGTGTTATATATTCTAATTGAAATTAAATTAAAAAATATATATAATTTAAATTTTATATTATTATTTAATTTTTATAACATTCACTACCAAAACAAAATTCCAGTATCTTATTATTATATAAAATTTAATATTTTATACCATTATTCTATAAATTTGAAGTAATTTACTTAACGTTGATATTTAAAATATTAATGTCGACAAAAATCAAATTTTATATAAATATTGATAGAAATATGGACAAAATGTCGATGTCAATAAATAATTGAGAGGAAAAATATAAAATATAAAATTCAAATAAATAAATAAATATTTTACGCTTTTTAATTGTGTTAAATACTTATTAATGCTCGATAAATGGAAAGATGGGAAAAATGAATATTCTTGAAAATTGTGTAAAGTTCAAACTTGTTAAAATAGGTGCGATAGAAGACTGTTCGCTCTTTAAATTAACATTGAATCTCTTCGATGTAATTCTATTTAATATATATATATATATATATATATATATATTTTTTTTTTAATACTTTAGACGTAACTTTACTCAGAAAAATTAAAATTTTGTAATAAACCACGAGATTTGTTTTCTAACATATATTTAATAAAATATGAATATTTTTTTGTCTTCGTCCTACCTTTAAATAAAATACAAAACTAATTTGTTATATATATATATGCACACTAAACCTTTATTTATCACGATTTGTGAAAAATAAAATAAAAATGAAGGTATAATTCATAATCATGGATTATTGCATTTAGCACAATATTAATTTGTAAATTTAGTTTTAGTTTTGTTTTTATTTTTAAACATTAAAAATGAAAATTTAAACTTTTAATTTTGTTTAAGCATGCTCATAAATAATTTTAATATTTTAAAAAAATTAGATAAATTTATTTGACATTTTTAAAATTTAATAACTCTAAAAATTAAACTAAAAAAGAAAATAAATTCCCTCCTGATTTAGGTTTGGAGGCAACAAATCCACGAAGGAGATAGAAGGCATTGGCTAATGGGCGGTGGAAAAGGTATGAACGTGCTCCACAGTTTTATTGACACGTGGCAGATAGACGGGCAGCACTATGAGGCAGGCAGGGTACGCGGTCAGAGCCCAAAAATATCTTCGCCAAGTAGACACCTGACCTCGCCACTAGCACAAAGCATCTCTAGATATTTTGCTCTTAGTGGGTCCCGCAAGAGCAACGGCCAATTGGAGTGCAGCTCGAGATATGGACAGAATACGGATCTTTCGACTTCCCCTTGCCTTCTGACGTGGCCTATTGCGATGTGAGGAATTTATCTCTTGTCGACGATCTCGATTTCCTTTACTGGCCAGTGGATCCGTGTGGGTCCCACTATTCTAAAAAGTATTACGAACAAGCATGCCATGTTATGGCCACGCGATGCGGACTACCATTCATACCTGTTTTTTTTTTTTTTTTTTTTTTTTTTTTAATAAACTTTATTAT